AGATTTTTAGGCTCACTCTTAGCTGCTTTGCCAAGATCTTCATGGGCCTCTTCGAGTTGATAAAACTTGATTTCGGCTAAAGCCCTTCTGCAAAGGGCTTTAGTATTGTTACCATCAAGCATAACGACTAATGAGCAGAGCTCCTTAGTTTGTTCCAAATCATGGACTTTCACGGTGCAAGCAGCAAGATTTAACTCAAGTGATATGACAAGGTTCCATAGAAAGACACATTCGGGAACAACTGAAGAACGTACCTCACGCGCGCAAGAACAAAACCACCAAAAAACAAACAACGTTCAAGCTCCTAGTTTTTCAAATTCCAGTTTCCTCTAGCGTTCTCCGGCAGGTCGTCAGCGAGAGTAGGCCCCTTTCCCTCTTGATCGCCGGCGAGTCCATTGCTACTCAGATCCGTCCAATTCGCGGCGGTGGCACCGATTGTTTGTGGGGAGGCTTTCAATTTCGAAGGCCGTATTTCGTGTAGGCCACAATAACCGTCACCATTGCCGTCTAAAGGAAGCGCCAATCTGGTGCCAACGACCTGATTGACGACTAATCTGTAGCTTCCTTTCCCTTGTTGTTTGTTTGTGGGGCCTATCGGTCCTTTGTGAGAGAGCCCAAGGTCAGCCAATTTCCACTACCCAGTGTCTGTTTGTGGTGATGGAGCTCGGCCACCGCCGGTCTGCAGCATGGGTTCTGGGTTGGATGCCGATTTGCCTTCCCTTTGTTTTTTTAGTTCTCTAATTTGCTGTTCTTCCTTGTTGCCAGTTCTATCTGTTGTGAAGTTTTTCGTCATTTTCCTTTCCCTTTTCAATTTTTCTAGTATGGACCGCCACTTATTACTCGATGCCCTAACGCACATCCACTTGAATGATGACTATGACGAAACCATTGCCAATTTTGCCAAAAATAATTGACCTGGAACATGCTTAATCAAGCAAAAGACTGGAAAGAGGAGGGTAATTCTTATTTCAAGAAAGGTGAACTCATTCTTGATAGGGCTAAGTATGACAGAGGGTTGAAACTTTTATGCTTTTGTCTGTCGAGAAATATTGCTACTCATATTTACTTGGAAAAAATGCATACTTGTGTAATTCTAGATTTTTAATTTTTTTTTTTTGAAGAACATAGTTCTAGAATTTTTTAACATATCCTATTATAATATTTTATTATTATTATTTTTTTGACAAAATAGAATATTTTATTAGAAGAGAAAGAAATTTGAGCCCATTATATATATCATCTTGTTAAATTCGTCTGAATTTGTTGTTTCAAAATATTTTTTTCAAGGATTAAACTTGTCTTTCATATTTTCCTCCCAAATTCGTGATCATTTGCTCTACTATTTGTCATGCATGATGTTGTTTACTTGTTTGATGTAATTCTCCCTACTAACTTAGGGGAACTAAGCACATGTGTTGACTATATCACACGAAAATACTACGTATGAAATTTTGGTACTACCAAGTAAAAATAATTGGGTAAGCATGTGCTTTTATGCAGGTTGTTTAGAATGAGGGGTAGAGATATAAGGAATAAAAACGAATGATAATTGGTAAGCACGGCCGTCTCAAGTATTTAGGAGGTTCTGTTCTGATTTTTAAAATTAGACCTCTTAAAATATAAGAGACAATTTGATTTGATATAAAGACGTGAATCGGGATTTGAACCTCTTCTCCCCTAGTAAAAATATATGAAACAAGTTACCATTATGACAAATTTTAACATTTGTGATAATCTCAGTATATAGACTTAATATAGTATGTCTAATCTTGAGGCCCCATTTTGTTGAGGTCCCTGTGCTGTAGGCCAGGTTGCACAGGCTATTAGCCGGGCCTATTGGTAAGAATAGGAAAATGATAGGGGAAAAAAAAAAAAAAAAAAGAAAGTGTTTAACCTATTATTTGGTAATAAGAGTAGAATGACTACTAGCAACAAAGTTACTTACATTTCCGTATTAAGATTCCTATTCTATCCTCGTCCTTCTTTTATCTTCCCACCTCCATCCCCCCACCAAGGGTTAATGCCCTAATAACACCCCTCTCTAGATATAGAATTATAGAATAGTTAAGGGGAGGTTTTTCTCTATCTCTACCCCCTCTAATAGTCTAGCCAATTTGTTCTCTTATAATTATCTTTATCCCTTCCTCCTTTTGCCCCTAAACAAACACTCCATAATTGGATAGACTGAGTTATGTTCCTTAAAACAATGATTTTCATGATTGGATGAAAATAGGTCTTGGCGTACTAGTAGTAAATTGTGTAAAATGGCCTTCTACACTCAAATTTACCATACATTTTTTTAGCTATCATCAACTGAGATTTAATATAATTTGCTAAATTCTTAATATACTTTATATTTAATTAAAAACTATTACTTTTATGTCTATTTATTGTCATCATGTTATACAAAATTCTCCACTATATAATTTGTCAACTTCTATTCTTGTGGTTTATAAGGATAGACAAATATATGTGATGTTGATAAGATTTGCTCAATATAGATATTGACTTCAAATACTTTACCAAAGTTGATATCCAACATGGCAAAGAACAATATATTCTAGTATTAGAAATTGTAGCAACATAAAACTTGAACCTTGACTTTAAAAGGGCAACTACTTATTTATTTGAATAATTAAATGTCTTAAAATATGTCACGAAGCTATAATAAGGCTGTATTGATTTCGTGCGGGACACATAACTTTCACCCAACTTTCCCATTTCCAGATTCTAAGCCAAGCAATATTACGCCCCCAAAAAATTTAAAACTTTCATTTATTATGAATTTCAATGCTGTATTTTAAAAAATCTATGTCATGGTTGAAAATTGATGTTTTAACATCTAACACGTCATATTTGGTAGAATTTTTTTTGTTTGTTTGCAACCACATCATAGCTTGCATCACTTCACTTGCATATTTATATACTCCCATTTAGAGCGGTCAATTCAGATATTCAAAGTATTACGTCTTTGAGGCGATTCAAATCAGATCTCTAGTCAAAATCCGATTGGATCATACATGTCCTAACCTCTAAATTAGTTTCTAGTGTTCTAGTTGATTGATGGTAAAAGTGTGAAGAAAATATTTGAATTGAAAGAATATAAAGTTATTTGACAATATTAGCTCACAATAGTCTAGTAATTTAAAAAGTTGACTAAGAGATAATCCATATAAGTTAGTTAATTAAGAAGTTGTAGTCACTAGTTGAAATTGATAAATTAATTGATATTTGAAGCTAAAAAGTTAGTTAAAGCTGAAAAGTTTGCTCACCAAAAACTTCTAACTTGAAAAACTATTTGTGTATTGCTTAGAAAACAAATCAAAATGCAAAGATCTAGCTTAATTAAATAAGGTGACTTGCTAAAATAAATCAACAATTCTATATAATATCATATCTAGTTATAGATCAAATAAGTTAAAACACTTTGAAAAATTAATAACTCACATTACAAGTAACACATATCGCACGACTTTTTGGATAAGTTTATCTTCTCTAAGCCACAAATAACCAAAACCAGAAAATATCATCCCATCACTTCCACATAATTATCATTTATCATTACTCATTATTTAATTGGGAGGTTGGAGGGTTGGGTCATGTAAAGATAGAACCTTATGATTTAGTGAGCCAATCTTATCATAAATTACTATTCATATGCTCCTAAAATTGTTCAATTCATCTATCTAAATGAAGAATGTATCCAATCCTAAATAAAACTAAGCTTTAGCTGGACCAAAATAAGTAGGAATTAGTAATGAATAGTATCTTAAAATGGTAGGACCTTTCCTACATAGCACATGTTAACCAATAATTAGAAGCATAAAGAGGGGAGGTTGTGAGTTGTGATTGTGCCCATAGCTTTGTGGGCGCTACCTTTTTTTGGCTTTTCTTAGAACTAGAAACCCAAGTACATTTTGAATAGCCTCTTTGTTTTTGCCCTTTTTTTTTTCCTATCAATTGCAACAAAATTTGGGTGTGGAGGGAAATTGGATAAATCAATATATAAAAAAGGCAACAAAAGTAGGCAAAAAGTTAATCAACATGTTTGGTTTCTTATACAGATGAATAATTAGGACAATACTAAAGAACCTACTATAGTAGTAACTAGTAACTTGCTTAGACAATATAGTCTTAAGTATTTGATAATAATGTGTATAGTTGTATACTAATTATTGCCAAAGTGTAAATGGCATAAGAATCCCTTTGTTCATGATTTAATAAGCAAAAGGTTTTTTAAACAATATTGTGAAAAAAATAAGGACCAATTTATGAGTCAAATGAAACAGTTGTAATGAGTAGTTATGATAATGAGCAATAAGCAAAAGGCTACTAAAGCAACGAGTGCATCTAGGCGCATAAGGCCTATGTGTTTCACATATAAATAGGAGGGCAATCTGGGGTTTTTATTATTTTTTTCTCTCTCTCTTAATGATACAGTGGTATATTTAATGTACCATTATACATGTAGTGGTATTTTTTGCCATCAAATTTTCCACCACTACTTTTTCTTATGTTTTCATTATTCACAAAAATGTCATCCTATTTGTTTCATTGGCACATAACGTCTATGTGCCAATACTTCTCCCCTAAAGCAACACCATGAAAAAAAACAAGAACCAATTTATGACTCAAATGAAAAATTACAATGAGTGGTAATGTTAATGAACTTGCATATAGTTTTACAAGAAATAACTTGTGCCAATCTCTTTGGAATTGCAGATTTGCAATGCAATGTCCTCAAGTATCCCCCAAGTATTTTTATATTTTTTTCAAATAACAACCCCTTTACCACCAGTCCACCACTAGAGGTGGTAAGAATGAAATCAATATCTGTAACTTATATCAAGTAAGCACCATCAATTTTTTTTACATCAAAACTCGCAAAAATATTCCCTTCATCCCTAGAAATTGCACTGAATCTTGGTTTTTTTTTTTTCCCTTTCTTTTTAAAAAATTATTGCACATGGATAGACAAGTTATTGATGAGAAAAGAGATAAAGCAAGTGAAGCTGCAAGTGCGAAAAGTTATCAATTATGATATAAAGCAATCTTTTAAGGACATTCATTTTTAGCATATGAGACAATCTTTTAGGAACAGAGAGAGTACATAAAGAAGGGAAAACATAAAATTGTCACATGACTTCCAATAAAATATTGCATATAAACTCATTAACATTGAACAATCTTTAAAGGACACTCATTTTTAGAATATAAGACAATCTTTTAGAGAAAGAAGGAGTACATAAAGAAAGGAAAACAAGAACATTGTACCAAAAGGAAACATAAAATATCACGGAGTACGTACAAAATCATTCAACATTGTCAAAAAGTACCAAGCGTGTTGTTAAATCTTAATCATTATGTGATCAAAGCCCATAGCCATTATCAAAAACACCAGGAAATGGCAATGCTTCAACACTCCAACTGCCTAATACAAGTCGCAGTTGGGGAAAAAAAAAAATCTGCATAATACAAAAAAAGGAGAAAAGTTGCATCACATTTACAATTTTACACAATATGCCTATGACTCTATGAATTATTCTATCAAATAGATGTTTATATGAATCAAGTGAAGTTAAATCATCCACATTGACTATCAGGAAACTAGTGATATCTCATTTCTTTTAGCCTCAAAAATTAACAATAGCAACATATCCTGAAAATTTTTCATCTACGACATTACTAAACTAAGTGTGCCATACATAATTTTAGGGTGAGAAAAAATTTGGCACACTGCAAAAATAATATTATGTTTCAGCAATTAATACTCAAGGTATAATGTCACTCTATTCAGCGTCGAATATGGAAGCTTCAGTCTCCAATCCTTCCTTTTACGACTCATTGGCCTTCCTTTGCTTGCAGGATCCCTATTTGCTCTAACGTCAGCCAGTTTCCAGACACAATCCTCTGTTTCTGTCTCAATAGAATCAAGCAAGAAAACCCCACTCTTCTCCTGAGATTTTGCTTCAGTGCCTTCTTCAACATAAGATACCACCATAGGAAAATCTTTGAACCTAAGTAAGTCCTCCGGTATTCTTAGTAGACGCTCTGCACCTGGAGAAGACACCTACAAGATACAACAAAATGCACCATTAGATCCAAATTGTCACTCTCATACAGCACCTTATTTTATAAAAACATAATATGGACATGAATAATCCAAGTTTCACCAATCTCAAATACTACTAAATCCCACTTTTTAGTCATATAAAAATAAACACAAGTTTTGGGGTTAATTTTTCGAAATATTTGCAAGTGTTATTTTTTGTTTTTGTTGATATTTTTTGATTGAGAACATCTATAGTATATATACATCGGACTATATTGAGAAGATAACCCTAATAGTTGGGATTATTTTTTAACTATCAAAAGGTGGATTAAGTTGAGACCATAGATCAAACTTGGGATTGTTCATGTTTGCTTTTTTTTTTTTTTTTTTTTTATCCTTTACAGGGGTAATTCTTGGACAAATGTTACTATAAAGAATGTTGTGTCATCAATTGGACAGTATTGATTTACCTCAAGAGCAAGATCATTTGGTATCTCTCCCTTAAATCCGTCTTCCTCCAAATGTTTCTTGTATTCTCGGCTATAACTTTCAATTAGCTCTATGCTGGGGCAGCCATACCTAAATGAATCACACCACAAATTAATGCATGCAGCAAACTCAGAAAAGCCAACATACGAAGATGCATATGGTTATAACGAATGTATATAGGTATTTTTTTTAAAAAAAAATTTACAAATCAAAATTCAAAGAAGCTAAGCTTCATGCAATTCATGCATGCAATGATACAAGACTAATGAACTTGTTCTCAGTTCTCATTTGCATAAGGATACTACACTGACCCAAGCCTACAATTAGTAGTCAGTCACAGCCTTACAGATCTCCCGTGGATATGATATATGGTTATTCCATCATAATTACTATTTTATTTTACCAGCATCAGGTTAAGTCATATTCATGACAAATTACTTTGTGTATAGAATTCTTACGTTGGTGAAAATTTGATATGGTATAGCCCGTACAGGATTCAAAAATAGATTAGACAAAATCCCACAACAGAGAAAACATACTCATTGGAGAGTTTGTCGAGTCTGATATAAATATAGCCACGAGGAGTAGTCTTGAAAGAGTACAACTTTATGTCATCATCAAATTGTAGCAAAACTTCACGTGCTATAGATAGTACTTTTTCTCCCCAGGGTACATTTTGGAGCACAATTCCACCACCAGCCCCTCCATCACCGATCTGAAATTAATGGCATACGTACAAAAGGAATCAGCTGAGTAAAAATGTGGCATAAAAAATCTTAATAATGTTAGAGCACCTCAGGATCAGTGTCATCCTCTTCCTCCCAATCTTCAATAACCAAATCTTGATCAGTTTCATCTGAAAAGAAGCAAAAATATAAATTACAAAGAACTAAAGATAACTTTTATGCAACTCGCGATAAGGAACCCTATTATACCAAAATTAAAAAGATAAAGACAGAAAACAAGCAATCCTCAAAGAACTATGTAGATCCAAGCACAGAACTCAAGTCTCCTAGTACACCTCACAACAAAACACCATGAGAGCCACATTAGAACAAGTACAAAGAAGCTAAAAACTCCACAGCAAACTGCTAGAAGACACCCAATTAGAGAAGATTCAATAATTTCTTTCCAACCAGATCACCTACATAACTGTATAAACAGCTTAACACTACAGTATCTTGCCCCTGATTTTGTCCAGGAAGCCACACAAGAAATTTACAAACATCCCAAATTAGAATTGAGGCGCACTAGCCACCCAACATACTCTAGCAAATATGAGCTCCGTACCATCAGCTTATCACAATTATTGAGTTTTTTCGATGGACTTGCACACACAAAATCTTTAACTAACTTTGGGACCTTATTATTCAAAGAAAATATAGAGATAGTAAAAGGCTGTGGATTTGAACGTCTTCTTGGGTGACCATAGAATCTTTACAAGAAAAAGCTTTTCTACATCATCCAATGGGTCTCAGTTATAACCCGAATTCATGATAGAAACTGGTTCAATATCAGTCAACACTCAACAGGTTACTTAGCTATCCCAGTTCCCAATTTAGGTGATTTCCCCCCCCCCCTCCCCCCAATCGTAAAGTGAAGTTTCATGAAAAAGATCCAACACTTCCCACACTAAAAAATTAAAAATAGAGATAAAACTATAAATGTGTCATGAACAGATTAAAGAAGGTTGCACAGAACTACAGACATGATACAAGAATCGAAACAGGATGCTCCCCTGTCCAAGATATCTCCTAGAATGCAACAAACACCAATATCAGCCCAGTGTTTGAAAAAGCGTGCCTAGGCTCAAAGGCACAAGGCGCTAGGGGTCATGTGCTTTGTGGTCTAGGCGAAGCAATTTTGATGACGCGCGGCTTAAGGCGCACAGCAGAATTTTCAGATTATTTTTTATTGTTCATCATATGTGCCTCACTTCAACGAGGCGCACAGAGGCGCGCCTTAGGCACAGGGAACTCTGAAACGCCTTGGTGCGCCTTGAGCATTTTAATACATTGTATCAACCTTACATCTAATCCTACATATAGAATGCTCCTACCTCTACAGTAGAGGACGAGAGTCACAAGACACTAAATGCTGCTGTGAACAGGCAGTTTTGGTATAAAGAGCTTCTACCATGTAACTCTAACTCAAAAAGGGTAATTAACCCGACAAGAACAGGGATTTTAGTAGAGACAGTGACAAACCCCATCTAAAGGCCCCAAAAGACACGACAGAAGAAAGGGGAACGTGGCAGATCGACCGGATCGATCAGAGTAACCACTAGTAAGAAGAAGATCCACGAACTCTGCAATACCAGATTGGAAGCCCTGTCCTTTCCTTGGGGAAAGGCCCTTTTAAAGCTCAGAGGGAATAGCACTTAAGCAGAAGCCGGATAAAGATTGACATCAATAACATCGTCTTCAGTTTGACTTCAGAAACTACAGGAGTCATATGTAGCTATCAAAGCAGAAGCTTACCGGGCTTATCCCAATTTAAATTAGGGAGGGGAAAAGATAGCTACACACAACTCTTCTATTAATCTATAATACAAGACACCACACTGTCTCTATCAATCCTTAGTCTTGCAACTACCTAGTACGGAGTGGAAGAACAAAGGTTCAATGTTCTTCCTTAACACATACTATAATAACCTCTTCAAACCTTCTGCCTTCGTTTTCTTTGCTTAGTCTATTTATCAACAGCTCGAGGGATTAACGCTAAAGATTCGCGTTTGACATCATCACAACCAACTATTAAGCTTTCTTCGGTTGTTTTTTTAATATCTCATTTTCCCCATCTTTTTCTTTTTTTCTTTCTTAGAAGATCATCATCTTTCCAAAAGCTTGGCTTAGCGACTATATATGTAGCTTCAATCTTCGTTTTTCTTTCTTCTTCATCTTCTTTTGCCTTCTAACGTATTAAACATCGTAATTTATCAGCACATTTGTGCAATTTAATTTTCAAACATCCTACAAACTTTGAAAAGAAAGATAGACATCTTTTTTATCACATTAAGCTAAAAGAGGGTGTTTTTTTTTTTTTTTTATTTATTTTTTTTTTTCTTTTTTCATATTAGAGTCTTTACCCGCTAGACTAGATTGGTATCTAATATTTGATTCATAGATACAAGCTTAGTACCGTTAGGCAGAAATCAGTAAGAATAGAAGCCTACATCAACCAGAGTTAGACTTCGCTGGAAAAAAAAAAGCATTTCAATACTTCATCCCATATCCCACATTACAAATTATCCATTCATTAGAAATCCCTCTAATACGAGACACTTCTAACTCAGCTATCCAAAAACTTCGATTTAGCGACTTGCTACGCCACAAAAGCTTCGCTTTAGCATATAAACAACCAAAAGCGATTACAAACCTCTACGTTTCAATATTTTTATATGGAACCATCATTTCATTATCTCATTAACAATACACCATCATTATTCAAATAACTAGTTATTTTTGCGTATCATTAACATTAGGAGATATACCCAATGAAAGGAGTATTATCACAGCCAAAGTGCACTAACCCCTATAAGAGCTCTACCGCTTGTTTCAGAAGGAATTTTAATATCAATGAATGGTTGATCCTTTGTATAAGGAAATGCTATTTTAGATAGTATATTATCACCATTCTCAACCAGTGTAATTTTATCAAAACCAAGCTGAACACGAATATTAGGGTCTCTGATAATACAGTTATACGATTCAATCAGACTGAACAATAACCCCGCAATAATACAATTCTCAATACCAGGCATAAAACTATAACCAATAGACAAGATTAAATCTTTTAACTTTTCATTGATGTATCAAAAAGATTCTAAGGCATGTCACAAAAAGCAGATTTCATTTTTTCCATTACACTTCGTGTGAAATCAGAATGTTTCTCAATAGACGAAATCTAAGAGATTTAGATAAAGAAGCAGGCCATACATTAAAATACACTACTTTGTGTCTACAGACACTTATTTTAATCTTCTAGAAAGAGTTGACGGACTCTACTATTCTAGTCTTCCTGGTGAATGGGGGGCAAGGTGGGGGGTAGCCTGCACAATCAAGGCTTGTTTCTCGATGAGGAGGTTTTGTTTGCTGTCTTCTATAGCGCTAATGCGGCGCTGGAATCCCTTGCATGACTGCAGCCACAAGCGCTGAATCGATGGGAGGCAGGTGCTCCAGCAAGCCTTTGCTCACATTGGAGCTTCTCAGCTTCTATAAAACGGATTTGGTTCTAAATTGTTGCTAGTCTTTTTGAGGTAGGGATATCCATTTTTTTTTTACTTTAAGTTTTTCTTCTACTTCTCTCTTTGAATATATAGACCGAAAGAAGCTTCTATTTATAGGCCTTAGGGGCGCTTAATTCTTTCTTATTATTAATAATAAATAATTGTTCTCTTAGTTTCATAACATGTTTAACCCTGGCTTTTCATGAATATGGAACCAGATCCACTAGACTTTAGTATGTTTAATAATTCTCTTCGTACAGATTAGAGTATGAAAGGCCCTGCCCAAAAAAGAATAAAATAGTCCCTTTTTTTCAGGTTCCGCCATACGGCTTAATTCTGATCATTCCCTCGAGAAGAGGAGGTAATAATAGAACGTACATCAGAGAGTACTCCACTTTCTCGTCTAATAAGGCAGGTTTCCAAAGCCCATTTCTTAAGAGATAGGGCACTCCTTACTCAGCATGTGATCTACCATTAACCTTATAATAAGTGTCTACATACATTGTTTTCGTAACCTACTTGCACTATTTAGCCCTGTCTACTCCGATTAAACTCGATACTACTTGTCTTTTTTTATTGGCTGATTTGCACTCGGGTACATCTTGAACTCCCCTCGTCAAATCCTTACTCTACAGCTCCGTCCTTTCTTAGGTGAGCTACGTGAGACCGAAGCTAGGTCTCTTTCATTTCTTGCCCCGGAAAGACGGAAAAGCCCCTTTTTAGAACAACAAGTATGGATTTTTCTTAGAAGAATCCTCCTTTTAATGATTTTCTAACTGTTCTGGTTAAGGAAAGGATAAGTGATGAAAATGAACTAGCTTATTTGCTGTCTAGCCTTATAACTCACTATTGATATATATGGACGAGGGGAGTTCAAGATGTACCCGGATACAAATAAGCCAATAAAAAAAAAATAAAAAAAAAAAAAACAAAAAAAAAAAAAACAAGTAGAAGCGTGTTCAATAGGCAGGGTTAAATAGTGCAAGTAGGTTACGTAAACGAGGTATGTAGACGCTTATTATAAGGTTAAGGACATATCACATGTTTTTTGTACTAGTAGCTTTGAATTGTCGAGTAAGGAGTGTTTAATCTCTTAAGAAAAAGGCTTTGGAAACCTGCCTTATTAGACGAGAAAGGGAAGTACTATTTGATGTGCCTTCTATTATTACCTTCTCTTCTTGAGGGAGTGATCGGAATTCAGTCGAATGATGGTACCCGCAAATAAAAAAAGGACTATTTTATTCATTTTTTTGGGCAGGGCCTTTCGTACTCCAATCCGTACAAATAGAATTATTAAGCACACTAAAATCTCGTGCATCAAATTTAAAACCATGAAAAGTCGGGGTAGAAACATGCTATGAAACTAAGACAACAATTACTTATTACTAATAATAAGAAAGAGTTACGCGCCTCCAAGTATAAATAGAAGCTTCTTTCAGTCTATATTTTCAAGGAGAGAGGTAAAATAAAAACTTTAAGTGAAAAAAAATGGATACACCTACCTCAAAAAGGCTAGCAACAATTCAGAACCAAATACGTTTGGCAATAGCCGAGAAGCTCCAATGTGAGCAAAGGCTTGCGGGAGCATCTACCTCCCATCGATCCAGCATTAGCTTTATGTAAGACAGCTAACGGGATCTCCTCAACGAGAAACAAGCCCTGATTGTGCAGGCCACCACCCATCTCGCCTCGGGTTGCCGGGAAGACTAGAATAGAAGAGTTTGTCGACTCTTTCTAGAAGCTTTAAATAAGTGTCTATAGATGCAAAGTAATGTGTTTTAATGTATGGTCTTCTTCTTCTTTATCTAAACCTCCTAGATTTTCGTCTACCGAGAGTATTTTCATTCATTATCTTGTTAATGGCAAACATTCTGATTTCACACAAAGAGTAATGGAAAAACGAAATCCGCTTTTTGTGATATGCCTAAGAACCTTTTTGATGTATCAGTGAAAAGTTAAAAGATTTCATCTTGTCTATTGGTCCTTATTTGATGAAATGATGGTTCGATATAAAAATATTGAAACGTAGAAAGAGGTATGTAGTCGTTTTTGGTTGTTTACATGCTAAAGAGAAGCTTTTGCGGCGTAGCGAGTCGATAAATCAAAGTTTTTGGACAGCTAGGTGGAAGGGTCTCATACTAGAGAGATCTCTAGTGAATGGACAATTCGTAATGTGGGATAGGGGATAAGGTATTGAAATGCTTCTTTTCTAGCGAAGTCTAACTCCGGTCGATAAATCTATATACCGAAGAATCTTGGCGCAGATCCTCTTATAATTGGAGTGAAAAAAAACCATAAATTTCTACCTAAAAAAAAAAAAAAAACGCCCTCTTTTAGCTTAATGTGATAAAAAAAAAAAGGGGGATGTCTGAAATGAGATATTTATCATTCTTTCCAAAGTTTGTAGGATGTTTGAAAATAGAATTGCACAAATGTGTTGATGAATTATGATAATACGTGAGATGGCAAAAGAAGATGAAGAAGAAAGAATAACGAAGATTGAAGTTACGTATGTAGTCGCTAAGCCAAGCTTTTGGAAAGATGATGATCTTCTAAGAAACAAAAAAAAAAGGAAAAAGATGAGAAACTGGATATTAATAAAACAACCGAAGAAAGCTTAATCCTTAGTGTCAATCCCTCGAGTTGTTGATAAACAAGAAAACAAAGGAAGAAGGTTTGAAGAGGTTCGTATAGTATATGCTAAGAAAGAACATTGAACCTTTGTTCTTCCACTCCGTACCAGGTGGTGGTTGCAAGACTAACGGTTAATAGAGACAGTGTGGTGTCTCGTATTATAAAAGAGTTGTGTGTAGCTATCTTTACCTTCCCTAACTTTAATTGGGATAAGCCCTATAAGCTTCTTCCCTAACTTTGATAGCTACATATGACTCCCGTAGTTTCTCTACTAAAATCCCTTAGTCAAGTTGTTCCTTTCAGGTTAATTACCCCTTTTGAGTTAGAGCTACTTGGTATAAGCTCTTTGTATCAATATCTGCCTGCTCACTGCAGCATAAAGTATCTCGTCCTCTACTGTAGTGGTAGGAGGATCCTATATGTAGAGTTTCCAAGAGGGAAGGGCTGAAGGGGAGGGGGAGGTAGGAATAGGGCAAACACCTTTGAGACAAACTTCCATGGGTTTTCATGGCCATGTTTGTTATTACAGCCTCCCTAAAAGTTTATGTGGTTTTTTCAGATACTTAAAACAAATTTTTGCTGCAAAACTGTATAAAGAAACAGCATATACTAAACTTTGTCAAGTCCCATCTTAAAAATTAATCTATTGTGAAAGCATTTAATAGGAATGATTTTTTTTTTATTTTTTTTTTTTTGATATTAGAGATATAGATTAAGGTTTTAGGTGTAAATGTGTAATACAGAAAATATAAACACTTGGGAGTTCAAGTGAGTTTTGAATATAGGAAAACACAGAAAGACACACTAATGCTGCAAACAACAATAGAGTATATATATTCAACACATCAAAGCTAATATGAACAGATGCAAATCATGAACTTTGTAGTACATTAGTTGAAAATGTGCAACAAAGGATCTAATCGGCCATATACATTCTGTAAACAAAGCGGATTATGAATTATCTTCTAGTAAAGCTTAATATATTCACAATTTCACATGTCATGTCTTGTCAAAAAGAAGTCCTCAGTAGTGAAACTATTGCCTACTAATTAATCAGCTTTCGAATTGCTGTCATAAACATAATAACCATGATTGCCATAATCATGAAGCTATTTCCAGAAATATTGCGACAGTACATCTACAAGTTCCATCATTATAAAAACAGTTCAGAGTCAAAAATGGGAAACTCTCAATGCATTTACGTAGTAATACACTATGCACATAAAACCACTTTTCTTAAAGCAAGCAAAATTATGAGTAACACATCATACTAAAAATGTACATGGCAGTTTTTACAAAGGAGTAGTGAAGTGAGATGCTTCATAATTTGGTACTCAATTATCATAAAAACCCAGTCAATCGTCCCATTCACAACGACATTTATCTCTCTTAGACCTTTCATCAAACACCTGGAAGAGGTAACTCATAACTCACTAAATTTAACACACTAGGCATGAAAAATTATAACAAAAAATTCCCAGACATTCCAACAAAACATAGAAAGATTCAACAAAGGTAATTAGTAATAATCATTCAAATGGGTATTTCAAAAAAATTGAAGATAAACTAAACCCAGAATAATCACTAAAAAAGGAGAAATTTTGCTTACATGGGTCTTCTTCATTGTGATCAGAAGCTCCAGAAGTGCTGAAAAAACGAAGAATTTGAGAAGAAAATGCGAAAACTTTATGTTGTGATGACAGAAAAGGCAAATGTGGAGTAAAAATGGTGGAGGGTTTAAGGGAAGGGTTTAAGAGGTTTAGGGGTTTAGGAGAGAGAAAAGTTGAAGGGGAAAACAATGGATTTTGAGAAGAAGGGAGTTGAGATTTCCTAGTTAATTTTAGCAGAGTTTGCAGATTCCTCATCTTTTTTTCTCAGAGACGACTGTATACTCCTACTTTGCTACATAACAGTATAACTGTACAGAAAAGGACCAGCTTATATTTATTGTGCAATGAGCCAATGACTGATCTTTGCACCCTTTAAACAAAAAAAAGCATAAAGAACGTAGAGGTATTTGAAAATGAACGTCTCCGAAAAAGAACATATTTGTATTTGACAAATAAGATATATTACCAAAGAATATAAAAACATTACAAAAAGAACCTAATAAAAATTGTAGGAAAATTTAACAACAACAAATCAACCTTTGCCCCATTCTCCCAGAATAGATCAACATTTAAATCTTCCCAAATTAAACCTAAGTTTGCATTTTTTTTCTCCCAAAATGAACCCAAATGACCGGTGACATGTACAACCGGTCATTTTTATAATTTTCCTTATATTATTTTTTTTAATTAAAAACCAATATAATTGAAAAAATTAATGATAAAAAAAAAAAAAAAACAGACCACTCTCCCCTCACCCCACTGCTAGCCACCCCCTCTTCCACCTCTCCTCCCTTTCCGGCCACCACTCTCTCCCTTCACCTCCCATTTTTATTACGTTCACTAACCTCCATTTCTCTTCATCAATGGTGTTTTCTCCTTGCTCTTCCACCTCCCCTTCCTTCGACGAATTCGACGACGATACCTTCGAACACACTCTCCTCATTGTCCGCGAAGTCTCCGTCTTCAAGATCCCTCCTCGCTCCACCTCTGGCGGCTACAAATGCGGCGAATGGCTCCAGTCCGATAAGATCTGGTCCGGTCGTCTTCGCGTCGTTTCCTGCAAGTCTCGCGCTGAAATTCGACTCGAAGATCCCATTTCCGGCGATCTCTTTGCTTCTTGCTTCGTTTATCCTGGACTTCGCGATCAATTGGTTGAACCTGCGCTCGATTCTAGCTGATACTTTGTGCTTAAGATCGAGGATGGTACTGGTAAACATGCTTTCATTGGGTTAGGGTTTGCTGAGTGAAATGAAGCTTTTGATTTCAATGTTGCGTTGTCTGATCATGAGAAGCATGTTAAGAGAGAGAGTGAGAAGGGGGGGCTCTGGGTGCCGGCCAGTGTGGGTTGCTGGTATTGCTTTGTTTGTGCAGCAGGTGGAGATGGAGGTTGTTGGTAATTGATGGTGGTTTTGGTGGCGTGAGGTGGTGAAGGTTATTAAGGTGTGGATATAGTCGGCGCCAGCAACCGGGGGAGGGGGGTTAGGCTTAGAGTGGGTGGCAGTGGGGTGGCTTGCATGTGGAAGGGTGTTTGGTTTTTTTGTTTTTATTTCTTTTTTTTTTTTGTAAAAAATATCAAAATTTTAAAAAAAAAAATAATATATATATATATATAGAGGAAGGCTCATGTAAGAACCCTCCTCTATATAAGAACTCAATCTTATATAAGAACCAATCTCGGCCGTTTATTAGTTTTGATCCAACAATCTAAAATGATCATTTAGTAATGGCATTTCTGTAATTCTTCTTTTATGTTCTAATTTTTTTTGCCCACTCCTATGTTCTAAATTTGGTCTACTTATGTTCTATTTTTTTTTTCCTATGTTCTAAATTTAGTCTACTTATGTTCTAAAGTTTTTTTTTCATGTGTTCTAAATTTTTTCTACCTATGTTCTAAAGTTTTTTTTTATTATTTTTTTTCTACGTTCTAAATATTCTTTTACGTTCTAAATATTCTTTTACCTATGTTCTAAATATCTTTTGCTTATTATCTAAATTCAGTCTATTTATGTTCTAAAGTTTTTTTTTTTCCTATTTTCTAAATTTTTACTACCTATGTTCTAAAGTTTTTTTTTCCCTACGTTCTAAATATTCTCTTACATATGTTCTAAATTTTTTTTTTCCTATGTTCTAAATTTAGTCTACTTATGTTCTAAAGTTTTTTTTTCCTATGTTCTAAATTTAGTCTACTTATTTTCTGCTCATATAACTTAGTGCTAATTTAATTTGTTTTATTGGATTTTTTTATTTAAAAAAAAAATAATTTGAAGTTTTTTTAGTTATTTATAAAGATAACCTATGTAGGAATTGAACCTACATCCTCTATGCATTTGCATAGTGCTCTTCCAATTGAGCTAATAGGTTTTATCACATGTTCTAAATATTATTTGCATATGTTCTAAAATTTATTGTTTAAGCTCTAAATTTTTCAATCTAAGCTCTAAATATATGTATGTTCTAAACTATTTTCCTATGTTTAACATTTTATTGTTTATGTTCTAAATTTTTCTATCCATGTTCTAAATATGTATCCTATATTCAAATTTTTTTTTTGTCTGTTCTAAATTTATTTCCTATGTTGTAAACCTATGTTCTAAATTTTTTCCGTATGCTCTAAATTTTATACTATGCTCTAAATTTTTTCTACATATTTTCTAATTTATTTTTTCCATACGTTCTAAATTTTTTCTATCTATGTTCTAAACTTTATCCTATGTTCTAAAAAATTTTCACCCTATGTTCTAAATTTTTAGTATATGTTCTAAACTTATTTTCTATGCTCTTATTTTTTTTTTCCCAATATTCTAAATTTCCAATTTTTTTTCCTATGATCTAATTTTTTTCCCCAATGTTCTAATTTTCTATGTTCTAAATTTTTACTATGTTGCAAATCATTTTCTTATGTTTCAAATTTTTCCTATGTTCTAAAGTTGTTCGTATATTCTACACGTATGTTCTAAAGTTTTTTCTACCTATGTTCTAAAGTTTTTTTTTCCTATGTTCTAAAGTTTTTTTTTCCTATGTTCTAAATATTCTTTTATCTATGTTCTAAATTTTTTTGCCTATGTTCTAAATTTAGTCTACTTATGTTCTAAAGTTTTTTTTTTTTCCTATGTTCTAAATTTTTACTACCTATGTTCTTAAGTTTTTTTTTTTTTCCTATGTTCTAAATATTCTTTTACCTATGTTCTAAATTTTTTTTTTCCTATGTTCTAAATTTAGCCACACCAACTACTCACAAACACTTATACAAATCAAATTGACTTGAGAATTTAATAGCTCATCAATTAAATTTATATCTACAAATTTTTATTTAATATAATACTCCGTTAATGTAATTATGCAGATGAGGTTAGAGTTACCAGTGGAAATACACTGAAAGTCCTGTGCTCCATAACATCCATAGTGCTTGTTATGCCTTAATTTACTGTTTGGCATGATAATATAATATTGATTTGCAAAGTACGAGGATTAGGATGATAATTAAGGATGAGAACAATTCCAATAGTGTTACATATAACACACTTGCATCAAAAGGAAATAATTATGCATGCATACACGATTCCTTTCCCTGATCAATAAAATGTCAACCTAAATCTTCATTCCATACTGATAAAAGTAACAACTGTATGTAAATCATACCTTATCAGTTTCAGATTTTTCTCACTTTTCTATAGCAGAAAGCAAGAAAGTTGAGAAGGTAAAAGTATAACATTCTGGATACACCTCACTACTTTCATCAGAGTCCTCCAATCACAGCTGTTAGATAATAGTACTTATAATATTTAAAACGAATATAGTAATACTTGAGCATTTTTATACAATCTGTAAATAAAAAATATACAAAATTAAAAGACAATAGAGCAAGGCTAAGACATACAAGAGACTAAACTCAAAAGCTATCTGAATATATACCCAGCAACTTGCCTAGCAAAGGAAGAGACATGGGTACAAACTGCAAACCAACCAGCATATCAAAACTAAAACACAGGCTTTGCTCAACAATAACAAGAAGCCTGGGGCAAGATAAGAATTATGACAGACTTATAAACACATAATAAGAAACTTCAAAACTCTGAACCAGTCTCGAAGACGGCAACATGAGCTGATATCTGTAGAAAAGACAGTAGAAAAGGAACTACAAGTCACTACTCTCAACCCGGGAGAAGATCAAGACTAAAATTCAAATCTTACAGTGTATTTGATACACATACGCTCACACTGAAGCCAGCAATAACTCTAATAATAGCTTCAAGAACATAAAACTAACAAGGGATTGCAACCGGGAGTCACCTCAAACCCCTCCATAATCAGATTTCCTAGTCTATAGCAAATGAAGAATGCTAAATAAAGAACATATGACACATTCTTAAGAACATACTTTAGTTACAGAATAATCTTCTTTTATGTTCTAAATTTTTTTTGCCTACTCCTATGTTCTAAATTTAGTTTACTTATGTTCTAATTTTTTTTTTCCTATGTTCTTAATTTAGTCTACTTATGTTCTAAAGTTTTTTTTTCCTATGTGCTAAATTTTTTCTACCTATGTTCTAAAGTTTTTTTTTTCCTATGTTCTAAATATGCGCTTTAAATTTTTTCCTATGATCTAAATTTATCTTATGTTCTAAACCTGTGCTCTAAATATTTTTTTATGTTCTCCCCTGCTGCTCAGCCACTTAACCTTCACCACTCCCTCTCTTATCCTACACCGCATCTCCAATCCACACCCCTCATTCACAGCCACCCCAATTCCGCCTACCCCCTGCTGCTCCCTCACGCAAAACTCCACCTCTGCCAACATCACCAACCTTCTCATTCCTCTGCCACCAATCATAGCCAACAACCACCACCAAATTCACACCACCATAGCAGCCGTAAAACAACAGCAGTACCCACACAACAACGACACCACAACAACAACAAAAAAATGCACATAAATCGCACAAAAATCAAACCATAAAATCCGAGCAGATCGAAAATAAACAAACGAAGAAATCTAAAAAATATTATCCTGTTGAAATCGAACGCAAATCGAATAGAAAATCGCCAAAAAATCGCAAAAATATTGACGAAATCAATGAAATCTAAGGTTTACATATGCGAAAATCAACTGAAATCGAACAATGTATAGACGAAAAATAATAAATCTAAACAATGTATAGACGAAAACAATGATTTCTAACGAAATTGAAGGAATATGTACCTGAAATGGAAAATTGCGAAATCTAGGGTTTTATCGCAAAAATTTGTACTTTTCTTGAAAATTTGACTTGTTTATGATCCTTTTTGTTGAATTTATGCAAAAAAAATAAAGGAAAAATGTTGAAGATCCTTCAAATTGTAGCTTTTATGGAGATTTTTGGGAGTTTGAGGAGAGAGAAAGTCATGAACTATATGGAAACGATAATCGAAGAGAGAGAAAGTTAGGGTTGCGTTTTTTTTTTTTTTTTTTTTTTTTTTGAGGAAAGATGGTTTTTATTTTGTTTAATCCTGACCGCTCATCCCAATCTAATCCTACGGCTGAGATTGGTTCTTATATAACTAGAGTTCTTATATAAGGAGGGGTTCTTACCGGATCCCTCCCCTATATATATATATATATATATATATATATATATATATATATATATATAACCTTGACCAATGATTTAATAATATGTGGACTTTTACCTAGTATAACAGGTAAGGTGACCTGTTGGGTTTATTTTGGGAGAATAAATGCAAACTTAGGTTTATTTTGGGAAGATTTAAAGGTTGGTCCATTTTTGGAGAATGGGGCAAAGGTTGGTTTGTTGTTGTTAAATTTTCCAAAACTTTATTAAAATTTCGTAAAAAATTACACATTAACGAAAAAAAAATCTTTACCAAAGATATCATTTCCCCAAAAATAATTTTTTCTCTCTCCAAAATTCAACTTCCCATAATAATTTTAGTTTTCTCTCTCTAAAATTATTTTCAACTAAATAATCTAAGATTTCATTTTCAAATTAAATTTCAAAAATCAAAATAACATATGTTAAAAGAACATAAGTTATAATGTAAAGAACATATAGTTCATACCTAAAGAACACATGATTAAACTCAAAGAACATACAATGATAAAAAATAATTTAAATATGATATATGATATAAAAAATAAAAAATAAAAAATAAATAAAAAGAATTTGTGCGTCACTCATTACGTACCTCAAAGAACATATGAGTCAAATTCAAAGAACATACTTTGTATTATTTAGACCCAAAAAAAATGATTTAATCAACATGTGTTAAAGAACATTAGTTATAATGTAAAGAAAATATAGTTCGTGCCCAAAGAATTCACTAATCAAACTCAAAGAAACATATTATCAAACATATATATGTATGTTGTTTGTCAAACATAAGTATGTTCTTTTTTAAAGACCTGTATGTTCTTTCCGCCTTTTTTTTGTTTAACCGGGTGCATCATGCGCATGGTGCACCCGGGTGTACTATCCTATTTTCAATTATTGTGTTGCCAATGTAAAAAATAAAAATGAAAATATTTGTTGATGGGAGTAGTTTTTTTTTTTTAATTAATTAATGAAATAGTGAAGTTTAATTTTATTCAAAATACTAAGGTAATTCCTTCCTTCCTCCAAGATAAGAGGCGTGAAGGCAAGGGTTAAATCTCACCAAACTCATTATAGAAGGAATTTCCTTAAAATTGTCCCCTCCTCCTATCCCCTAAGGGCCTTCTCCTTACCATTTAAAAAAATATCACTCCATCCGTCCTTAGATCAAGATTATTTGAAAGGAATGTTCATAACTCTTTTCTTACCTCATTTCGTCCTTTTGAGGCATTATATTCTTTTATCTCACTTTCGATTATCTCTTTCATCTCCGCTATTATTTGGCCTTATTTGACAATTGGTTGTTGATTGTTAGGTGTTTAACTTGATTGGTTTGACTGACTGTTAACATAAGTAGTTTATAATTTTATATTGGGTTTTTGATCATTAGCTGTATACTTGTATGTAAATACATTTGGTAAAAATCAGTTGTTGACAATTTGCAAAATGACCTTAAAAGACATTATTATGTGTACTTATTCATCTATTATGAGTATTGGTAACTAAACATAAAATATTATATTTAGGGCGTGTTCGGCACAACTTAATAAAAAAAATTAATTATTTATCAATTATTTTATCAAACCAAGTCAAACCACAAATTAATAAAAAAATTTGAGCTTTTGGTGATGTAGTGGTTGGGGACTTTGGGGTATGTAGCTTTTAGCGGTGGAGGTAACTTTATCAAAAGCTAAAATTGTTAGCTTTTGAAACTGAAAAATAACTATATAAATTTAATATATACTTGCACAGCTAACAACTACTATCACAGCTAACAATTACCTCTACAGTTATATTTTACCGAACATACCCTTAGCCATCAATACTTATTTATTAATTATTTACAAACCATTTTTGTTGTTAATTTATTACATAGTAGTACTTCGTAAATATTTTATAATGACTAAAAGAGAGTATAAAAAAATATTACTTCCTCCATTTTTTTTAGTTGACACCGTTTGACTTTTACACTATTCACAAACTACACTTTGACTACCTTTTGTAATTTATAGCTACGATAAAACATAGTCAAGTGGGATCTTGTTTGAATCATCTCAATGTATACTTTATTAATATCCACTTTTTATAATTTTACAATGTCGAGAATTAGAGATATTAATCGTTAAAATAGTGTATTGGCAAGCGTGATAATAGAATGTTGTCAACTAAATAAAAACGGAGGTAGTATATAATTATTAATAAATCATTGGTAATTAATAATTATTTTTTAATTAGATAACTAATTAATTTATTTCTAATTTTTATTAATTATAAATCAGTAGTGAAAAGTAAGGATAGAGAAGTAATTTTAAAGATGAAAAGCCAAAAGTCAATAGCAAAATGCTAGTAAGACTAGCTTTTCATTTTTGGAAAAAAAAAAGCCCAAAAAAGGTCATTTACCAAACACTTCTTTTATCTACTTTCTAAGAAAAAAAGTCTAAAACCAAAAGATAATGAAAAGGCCATCTAAAAGTCATTTACCAAACACCCTTTATTTCTTTAACTTGAAGTGACATATTCTCTATTACCAACAATGGAGATCAAGATTCCTCCATTTGAGAAGAGAGTGATGGAGAGGATTGATATATCATATTCCCCTCCACTATCATGCTCTTAGTTGGCATAATTGTATAATTGGACTGACGCAAAGTTTTAGACAAATTAACTGAATTTTTATTTTATTATTATGTGATACTTGGTAGTGGAATGTTCTTTATAATATTTAGTTCATAATGGATCCAAAAGAAAAGTAAAATTTATAATAAAAGACGAGTAGGACTATGCCATTATGAAGAAGGTTTTTTTTTTTTTTTTTTTTTTTTTTTTTTTTTTTTTTGTTGTGCATATAAAGAACTTTATAGTGATTTTATAGATATCTTGGGTTGATTTAAGATTATTTTCAATAAGAATAGAACTTGAAATTGGTTCCTAATTGATCCTAATAGTAGCATTACAATGTTCAATTTTGAAATGTTTTTCCCTCCCAAAACTATCATCCTATTTGGCCTTTATGAGTGTTTTATCGTTACTGTAACAATCTTACTTTTTAAGAGTAAATTTAAAGAATAATTAAACCTAATTAAAAATTTGATTAAGTAATACTAACAATAATTGTGTAGTAATTAAGATACTCTTGTTATGTGTTGATATATATACTCCGTATGAATCAAATGTAATGCGTTAGGTAAGATTATGTTTGTGTAAATAAATTAGAATTTAGAATAGTCAAGTTATTGTTATGAGTTTGTACCATGTACACCATTAATCGATAATCCATCCTTCATCTGCAAACTTTAACCAGTAAGCGGTGATCAAAATTACATTTTTTGTGCAGCCAAAAAGACTACCCAGTTACAAATTCCGCATCTCAACTACTCATATTGTAATCTTGAGCAACTTTTTTAATTTTTTAATGTTTTACAAGCTGACTCATCATCAACCTTTGTTTCCTCCCATTTCCTTCCATCTTCTTCAACCTTTTTTATCCTCCCTTCTTCCTTTCTCACCATCATTTGCAAACAAATCCAAACCACCACAACAAACACCATGCCTAACACCCACCAACACCACAACAAACCCCAACCTCAACACCACCATTTTCGAATTTTACAAAAAACCCTAAGAAAAATATAAAAGGGGCATGGTTAACCCTAAATGTTAGGTTTTTGCTTCTTCCATTGATTTCCTCAACCTCCAATGAAAAATTCAAGCTCCATTGTTGATGAGAGAGACAACACTCAGTTAACGTTTTCCAAGCTAAAAGTAAAAATAATGTGAATATCTAAGACCTCACAAGGCTCGCAAGCTATAATAACATTAGATATTCGGATTTTAACAAGAATTAAAGAAATTACACGAAAATAAAAAAGATAGTACTCTAATTCTCGCAAGAATAGAGGGTCTGTCGCAACTAGAAGATGATTACAAGTCGTAACAAATGATGTTTTTTTATTAACAATCAAACGAGCAACGCTCAAAGGATTAATTCCCAAAATAAATCTCTCTTCATTAATCACTATTGATATGCACCCATATTTATAGGGTGAAAAATCGCACCAAGATAAGATAGGAAACTAATAATCATATCCTAAAATAAGATAGAATATTAAGAATCCTAATCCTAATAAATCTACTAATCATATTTGTAACCAACTACTAAATTTATCCTAACATAAATAAATTAAACAAATAAAATATCCTAATAACAAAAACTCTTAAAGCCTAAAAATAGGAAAAAATGAAAGGTAAAAGTCCATAGGCAAATATTCTAATAATTAATAATTACTAAAGAATAGTGTAGGTTCTTAAGAAACTCCATGAATTTTCAAGAAAACCAATATTGAACTATTGCTCCTGCATTAAAAATACATTTGTATCCCCCAACAGAGTGTGAAAAGACTAATATACCCCCTTGAGAAACAGTTTGGTTGAGAAACTTGGAATTTCTCCAGTATCATTAAACACTTCCATCACAGAAGTAGTTTTTTGTGAAAAATCAAACTCAAGCAATAAAGACTCATGTACATTTTGAAGTTCTCAACCAGGATTCACAAAAATTTCATGCTGCCATAGTGCCATACATGAAAGCAGCAATAACCAAAGAAAAGAGACGAAACAAAGACCATAAATCCAGGCTCTCATCAGCTGCATCTGCTTCTTCTGTAAACAAAAGTTCAACTTCTACATGTTTGTGTCCAGCAATAAATTTGACTATTTCTGCACCAATAATAGCAAGCCAGAGCCTGTTCATCAGCAGTTCGAGAACGGAACGACCTACGGGACTTACTGGCATAACAGTTTTCTTATTTGAAATAAAAAGGCATCATAAATACAAAATGATGCACAGAATAGAAGCAGAGAGAGTTAAGGCAAAAGAAAGAAAGACAGCAACTAAGGAATCATTTTGAGCTACTAGCCAGCCTACAAGCGCAGAATGGTTCTCAGAGTATCACTTAGATTTTGAATAGTCTGTTGTTCTTGTGCTACTTGCAGATCTTGAAGTGGCATCTCTTCATAGCACCTGTTTCAAATTAGACAATCCAAATGAAACCTTTCACAATTTCATTCGCTGAAACAAAGACTGTTTCTAGAGACCATTATAGTATAGGGAGGACACAATCAAAATATCACAGAAAGCAAAAGGCTTAGTATATGCCGTATCAAAAGAAGTGACAACATACAAATAGTAACTTACATTTTGTGATAAGCCAGAGCTTGAGCCAGATTCATAAGTGTGGGACTTGAGGTAAGTCTTTGATAAACGCTTGGCGGAAGGGCCATCGGCTGCTTATGGAAAAAGAGGGGCAAAAGGAAGGGAAAAGAAGGGGTTAAAAACAAACTGAACCTAAAGGAAAATAAACCACATAACCCTAATCATAAAAACAGACTAAAGCAATGAAACCTCATTTTGTCCCCGCCTCTTTTTTGATTGAGCATCCCCAGCAAAAAGTTCTTGCAATGCTTCTGCAGCCACCATCCCACTATTTTCTTTTGGCTTCCCCCCAAATACATTATCAGATAAGAGTGCAATAGGTGATATATCAGTTGCCCTCAGAAAAGGAATAGGCACCGTATTTCCAGCTGCATATATTGACCAAAGCTACAACGACAATGCAATCCAGATAAGTGAATGCTATAAAATGTCCAAAAATAGATTAATTTAAAACAACATTCCAAAACAAGATTAATTTAAAACAACATTGATGTGGTTCACTAACGTTGTGTAAGTTACCTCAAAAAATATGTAAGTTACCTCCATAAGCAGGCGGGTAAATTTTATTGATCTTGAGGAAACAGATCATAGATCTAGGCTAGATAAATGACCTAGGGACTTTATATCCTACCCCGATACAAAAAACGGAACATGTCCCATAAATAGGTCCAAACAGAAATATAATAACCCAAAATAACAGATACCGTCAGTTTGTTGGGGCAAACAGATTCAAGGTATATTCTTATAGTGAACAACATAAATACATTTGGTAACAGATTGAAAGATTGTTAAAAGGGGTCAAAGTATCCGATCTCATGGACCAACTTATGTTAAATAACCATTCAAAACCTGTAATATCTTTGTTTAAGGCACTTCAGCAATGGTAATAGGTACAAAAGCAAATGAAAAAAAGTGTAAATTGACATTATTGTTTCGTGTAACTTCATATCTGAATTTAGAGAAAAGAGTGCATGTTAATTCTATTCAGCAACTCCTACAAGCAATAGACAATTTTGGCATAAGCTATGTTCATTTTTTCGCTTGATGATTAATCTCAAGCAACTTTTACTTTTTCATCCCTAAGATTCTACGAAACTCAACCATTCCCCTCCGAAATTTCCGTGAACTTTAGTTCATGTTAACAGAATACCTTGCCTCTCTACTGTGAACTTACTAATGTGCATAGATAGTTAAAACAAGTAAAATGAACAATCTGCAACAACTTCACTTTAAGCATAAGCCATGGGAGCTAGAAGATGACATCCTGTACCTAATTAACTGGGACACAAAATAATCCAGGGTCAAAGTACTTATTACATAACAAGACATTCACAAAATCAGCTCAATTGAGAATTCGCAGAGCAAATAAAAAGCTTTGAGCACATCATTCCTGTTAAGAACCTACACTAGATCGAAGAACAAGAAATTGTACACCTGAAAAAGTATCATTGTAATGCATCACATCAAGAAGAGAGCCAAAATAAAAAAATAAAAAAACCTTGTCTTGCGCTGAAAATGTTTTTCGACTGACAGTCTCACTCCTAGATTGATCACCCAAACCACCACTGCCTCCAACCTTTGTCTGACATGTTTTGCTTGCCATACGGTTCTGTAAAGTAACGGTTGATGCAATGGATTCTCGATTGACTCCACTAGCAACAAGCAATTCTTTCTCATGTATATTTGTGGCAGCACTGGTAAATGCTTTATCCCCCCTGAAAAAAAAAAATTCAATTTACAACATACAAGTATAAAGTTAACCTCCAAAACTACATGAAGCATAGGAACACCTAAAGTTAACTTCCACAAAAGCTGAAAAACTGAATAAAGCCATACTTCTAATGTTCGGGAGCTTATAAGTGCACGAAATGTAAACAAAAGCATGTAAAAAATGGAGTTAGAAAATTAGTTTATGTCTCATTTCTCGTACAGGTGATCATAATAATTAATCCTGACGAAACATTTAGAGACTGATTCCAAAATTTGAACCATGTTCTAGTACTAAGCTAAAAACATCAGTTTCTCATGAGACATTTTAATTTTTCAAAAGGGTTTAAAGAGAATAAAGTGCAGATCAGGTACTTAACGTTACTAATTACCAAGATGAATTTAACATTATTGGTTCTCTCTTTAAGAACTGGCTCAACCCATAAACATGATTTTGGAAAATTTTCTTTCCAAAAGATACCATGGCACAAGAAAAATATCAATTTGCTTGACAAAAAACAAATACCTTTGATCAACTATAATATCTGATTTAACACTCAGTGAGGAAACTTCAGGACTGCCATAAAATGATGATGTCTTCTCTTCATCCCCACCATGGACTACAAAAGTCCCAAAATCACCTGCACAGAAAAAAGACCACAAATGTTGTTTGCCAAAACATCACAATCCACAGCTGAAAAGAAAAGGTTCAAAAGGACCAGTTAAACCGGAAGACAGCAATCACAGGTAACTCCATCAACTGTTGTTTCAGAGCACAAGGATTGCATCAAAGGGGCTTCAGTGCCCTTATGATATTATTTGTGTGGGTTTCAACAGCAACAAAGACCAAACATTAGTCTTGGTACAGGGAGGACGAATAGGGGCAGGCAGAGGAGAGAGAAAGTAGAGCTGTGTTTGGTTAGGCGACAGCAAGGGGTTGTCGATGGTCAGCAATAGAGAGGAGGCATCGTGATAGGTGAGTCTGGACGGTAGGGAGGGAGGCGCTTGCGGCGGTTCACTTATGGGGGAGAAAGTGTTGTGAGAGGGAATGCGACAGAGTGGGTGAGGGAAGGGGATGAGGTAAGAGTGGTGGTGGAAGATGAATGTTCTAGGCAGGGGGGTATGAGGCGGTGGAGCAATGGTGGTGCTCACAGTAGGTGAGAAAAACAGGAGGTTTTATGGGCCGTGAAGATGCTGGGTTTGGTGCAGCGGTAGAGGGTGAGTGAGTGGTGGTGAGTTGAAATAGAGGAGAGAGAAAAGGGATAAAGAGGGTTAACCGTACAAATATTAACCATAGTAAATTATACATTATTTTTAAGTTTTAACCTTCATTAATGCCACCATCACCATTCACCAATGCTATTAGTCAATAGCAAAGGGTTACCCGAGATAATAGCTTTTTTTTATCGTTTACCAAATAAAAAGTGCAATTACACAGGGTTACCAATAAGGACCCCCCCCCCTCCAACAAGTAGAGCTACCTCAGTTCTCAAAACTCAAAATGTTTGGTTGATACTAGACAAGTAGACGACAAGTACAGGCTTCCTACACAGGGACTAATCGGCTTCACAACATCTCTGTTCCCTTATTTCCTGTATAATCTCTGATACAAGGAAACCAACCATATCACTTTAGTAGTGACAGGAAACCTGTACCACATAGCACACTATGATGGAAGCTTACCAATTAGTGAATAACAGTTAAAAACTTTCATTACCTCCTCTGTTCTTTTAATGTTAACAACTGGTGTTTCATGCACCCTAAACCATTACTTTAGCCATTAATATCTTCAATTATGTATGTGTAGAAATTATACTCCCCTCTGTCCTCAAATAAAAGTCTCATTTCACCCAAAACTCTTGTAGCAAAAAAAGTCTCATTTCACCTTTGTCAATTTATTTTCACTTTCAATCAAACAAACCCACTATCTAGTGTTTAACATACATCTTTAATCAACCAAACCCCACTATCTTCTTATTTTATTCACCTTCCTAAAAACTTGTGCAAAAGCCAAATGGGACTTTTATTTGGGGACAAAGGGAGTAAAATGTCGATATTTTGAAAGATTACATCGAGGTAGATCTAAAAAGACCCAAATTATTATTTTTTTACTTGCGCAAAAATCATAACAAATTATCATAAGATATTTATGTGAATAGTGTTAAATCCCAACTGTAGCAATAATAAAATAATGAAGTGTATAGAAGATCATAAGAATAAAATATTAATGTTATACTCAGAAGGAATAAGAAAACAGAGACAACCCATGAACGTAACAGAGTACCTTCTCCAATCAGCTCCACATCCTGCAAAGCCTGCCGCTTTGCTGACCCTGCAACCTTGGGTATCTCATTTTTATTTGTCAACGCAACATTGATAGGTTTTGATGGAACAGTGTCGCCAAAATCCTGATTCACTTTTGGCACCTCCACCTGCTGCTATTTTGCAAATAAAAAAAAAATTAGGGATGAGTATGTCCAATTTTATCTGCCATAAAAATTTGTGCCTATTTCTCTTGATTTTGAAACATCATCAACACAAATTAGGACCATTTAATTTATTAAGGGATAAATTTTATACACAGAAAAGATACGTGGCAAAACAAATACGAAATGATACAAAGGATCTTCATCAGATCAAAGACAGACAAAACTATACGAAACAAATGAGTTCTATGCACATACCCCTGCCAACAAGGTTCCGTCGGTAAGACTTTGAGCTTGAAGTACCATAGATTCCCTGACTTTTCTAGCCTTCTCAATCTTTGGCAACATTGCAAATGCTCCTCCTTTGCACTTATCAATGAATTTATGCTGCATTTGGTAAACGGAGGCAACAAAGGTATAAGTCACCCAAAAGACTTGTAGGCTAGCCCTGCAATAACCTAACAATTCTTTCTAGCCTAACATCTATCCTCCTTTGCATCTATCAATGAATTTTATGAATATTGATTTCCCATCAAGGGTTATATCTTATATGTGAATAAAAAGTAAAGCATAATACATTTAAAATATAAATATATATATATATATATATATATATATTGACAACAATCTTTTTAGTCTCTTTCAATAAACAATTATTTGATATAAATTTTCGTTAATTTAGTTTTAAATGTAAGGAATAAAACTAGTAAACGAATATATGAAGTCTGTCAAAAAAAAATGAAATCATTTGAAAGTAGAGGGAACCAATGGAAAGTTGCAAAATTACGAAAATGTCAATAATGACACAAGTAAGATCTTGAGCATCATTTATGAAGATTTAAGGACCCAGATTGACTCTTTGTGCTCATAACAGGATATGGAATTCGTGCTACAAATAATTTCAAATTAAAAAAAGTGTGCACCTGATCAAAAGCCAGACGTGAATAAATATTGAAATTAAAACGAGAAGCTTACATAGTTGTTTTATGATAGGAAAAAATTAACAAAAACATATGCAGGCACCAGGCAGAAGAAAGGGAAAGAATAAAGGAGAAAATAAGACACCGCCCACATTTCTGGCTGCTTTCAGCCAGCACATACTTAAATACCTTCAACATATCAAGTGCAGTTGGACGCAGACGTGGATCCTTGGTTAGACATTTAGCTACGAAGTCGTGAAATATAAGAGACCTGTGAAAAGTTCAAAAATTATGTCAAATATTATAACGTTAACAATATGTAACAGTCCAATTATTGTTGTCTACACACTTAACTATCTTATATCATCCCTATTATAAAAGCCAACTGTTAGGGACTCAATATTCAAATTTTGAACTATCTATACTGCCCTTACGGGGTTGCTATCTTACAATTGAACAACAAATAAATCAATAGGCTATGGAACGATTATCAGTCAGCCAACTCACTAAAATCGATCATATAAATTTAATTATCAAATCTCAATAAACTCACAACTTCATATAGGAATATGATTATTTCCTTTTAAAAAGATTTTGCTACTTTATACTACCTTTATTACTTTTTTTTTGTCTCATCTAGAGTATTCCATTGGAAAAGAGAAACTTTCACTACGAGTATTGATTGATAATTTGATACACATAGAAAAAACATATTCATGTAAAATCTTGTTAGATTCATCTCGACGAGAAATTACAACATATATTAATTTAAAAAAAATTAAATAGTGTGGTTGAAGACAATATTGCGCACATGTGTGCAGTTAAAATTGATGCAGAAAGACAAATGGGACAAACAAAAAGGAACAGAGGTAATACCTCTTTGTTCATGTCAGATGGTATACAAGATCAATCTTTTAAATACCTAAGTGACGGTTGCAAACATGACTAGTATCTCATATTCCAAAGTATATAGCTAAATACATGCACCCTAATATCCGGCATTCAAGAGTAGAAAATTACAAATTTTGAATATTGTCATAACAATATTTAAAGAACTAGACCTCTCAAACAAAAAGAGTAACAAAATATTAAAAAGATCTTCAAAATAATGTGTTAAATCACTTAGGTTACATTCTCTTAATAATGCAAAGTGTTAATTTATTTCTTTATACTTCGTATGTAACATTCTCTTCCTTTTACATTATTACCGCAATGTAAAAGGAAAAAAATGAAGTAAATATTGTAAAAAAATCGAATCACTAGAAAATAGTTCCAAAGGGAAAAAGGTTACCAGAAACTGCCATGGGGCCTGCATCTAAGTGATCCACTCCCCCCCCCCTCCTTAGCTGTTACACTTTGACCGACACATAGTTTTAAGCAATTTAATTAAATTAAATATAATAAGAGGTAAGTGGGGTAGTAGGAGTATTAAAAGAAATTGTAAGAGAAATAATAGTGGAGTTAATAGTTTATTGAAAAGTAATTGATGAGAGAGGAAAGAAAAAAAAAAAAAAAAGTAGTTGTGGATTTGGGTGAGGACCATGAGAGGAAAGAGATATAGTATTAAAATGTAGTTTTTTTGCCATAAAAGGAAGTGTAACACTTAAAAAAAAAAAAAAAAAAAAAAAAAAAACCGCATTAGGTAAATGTAACACTTTAAAAAAATGGAGGGAGTAGCAGCTTTACCTTGAGGGGCATTTGGTTCAAATACTTCAAAATCACTTATGTGTTTAAGATATTTCAGACCCAAAAACTTATACCTAATATTATATGTTTAATAAAATTCCGTAATAAAAGTCAAACCCATACTTTGAATTAAAAAAATTAGATCTTCCACTTTTTGTCTAGTATCCCTTTTCTTCATAATAAAAGTGTGTTGTCTCCACCCCTTCAAAACAGTAGCCTGTAACTAAATTGTCTGCCAGTCACAATTGATGATTACAGGGGATAGAATTGACTGATAATAACATGGGAGGTAGTCTGGTAGTGTGAAAATCGTGGATATATATATGGCTGAAACCCTCCTCCTAGGGGCATGACAATCCCATACCCTGTTTCCCAGAGATCAAGCAAGGGAATTGTTGATTGTAAACCCTTACCTGATTCCAAAATTGTTGCCCCTTCAAAGAAACTTACTTTGTAATAGAGAAGATAGTTTTTGGGTAGTTTGGAAAATACTTCTCCTTTTTTTTTTTTATTATTTTTTTTATTTTTTTTTATTTTGCAACACTTTGACTTTCACTATTCACATATACTATTTTGACTACCTTTAATGATTTATAATTAAGTAAAAATATAGTCATGTGAGATGTTATTAAATCCGTCATGCAACTGCAATATGACAAGTCCAAAAACAAAAATGGGTAAACAGAAGGCTACAGAAAAACAATATGATACCATTTTTCTTTGTCCTCGAGCATTGGAGCTGGTTCAATAGATATCATGAACAAAACCTACTAGAGCAAAGAGGAAAATTTAGAGAATAATAGAAAATTACGATACATATATAGCAAATTTAGGCACCACAAGGGTGGGAAGATCTGATGATAACTACTTTACACAAATAGCAAACTCAGGAACTAGACAAGTTGGAAGCTTTTGACAGTTGTTGATCGATGTGTTCATAATCTCTCTCCCTTCTTAGAAGCGTAGCGCTTAAAGTTTCTTGCAAAAGATATGTAAACTCTTCAAACTACTACATTAAATATACACTAGAATGTACCCGTGCTTATGCACGGGATATAAAAGGTAGGGTTTTTTAAAAATAAAAAAGAAAGTTAGGTGAGGATGTTATTGGTTTTTTTTAAGAAAAAGAATGCATAGAAAGTAAGTATTGCTATTTGGAGTGATGTGGTGAAAAAACATTTTTATTATAATATAGATGTGAGACTGCTCAACATGGCAATATACATGTACATTCTTCAAACTACTACATTAAAGCTATGTACAGCATAATGTGATTCCATAGTCCACAGCTAACTTGAAAAGATGAGTAGTACGGTAGTACCTAATTTCAATGCGGACGGCAATGATATTTCCATCAACCTAAATGCTGGATTCAGATATATCCTTTGCTTGGACCAAAGGGAGGCAGAAAATTTCCTTATCTAGCCATCCCAACGTGTGCTTTTGCTAGAAACAAAACGCTATTAACTGGTGTTCCATTGTTTTAATTTCCAATTCCACATTGGTATCAAACTTTAGAACTAAATTATAACATAATACTCTATATACACATGACAGCAAAATCATATAATTGGGGGTTATTAAGCAACAAAAAGTCATTAGAGGTCAGAACTTGAGAGCGTAATATGCAACGGCCCCATACAATGCTATAACTCATAAAAAAATAAAAAAAAAAATAAAAATAAATAAATAAAACCACTGAGGAACTAGTGATTGCACTAACCCGCATTGGATGCACCGATGATCTAGGAGGAAGCCCCTGAAACAAAAACGAATAGTTAAGTATGTAAATTTGATAATTCCATAACTCCATATAGTGCAGGTTATCATAATTGAACAGAGGGTGTTTCTTAAGCTTAATACAAGTACTCTATTCTTCTCAGAAACATAAATAATAATAACAATAACAATAACAATAACAATAACAATAACAATAACAATAACAATAACAATAACAATAACAATAACAATAACAATAACAATAACAATAACAATAACAATAACAATAACAATAACAATAACAATAACAATAACAATAACAATAACAATAACAATAACAATAACAATAACAATAACAATAACAATAACAATAATAATGTACTCTGTTCAACTTTTGTCCTCCAATCTGCTATGCATTTCAAAAGATATTAGGTAGTGATGGCAGAATCACACGTGTTAATATAAGATAGTGATGTAGCAACTGTTTATTCTCTTTATTCTATTATACAAAGCTGCCACTTCTCCCTATTCCCCCCCCTCCCGAGCGGAAATCACCGCCTCTGGCCTAAATTAAAAAAATTCCAGCAAAATTTTCATTTTTCAAGATCTATTCAAATCTACTACAACATGACAATATCTATGCATCACACATTATCATTTAAATAACAATATCAACATAATGTTGAATCCAACTGTGTAAGCCAATGCACGTAAATCAAATTAAATCTTTCTTATTATGTGTGAAAATGGCTAAAACAACATATTTTGGACCAGAGTGTTACTTTTCTCCTTTTCCTTCATCACATGTAGATAAACAGAATAATAAAAATATGGAGGTTTCCATCAAGGAGAGGAGATACAATTGTCAGAGACAAAGGATGTTACCTCTGCCATCTCGATAGCAGACACTCCAAGAGCCCAGACATCCACCTAAGAGGCCAGAGAGTAGAATATATATGTTAATTTCAACCACTTCTGCATATATATTGACTGCAAAGGATACAGCACAGAACTCAGAAAAATTACACCTTGCAAAATTGTAGATCTATATTATATATTATTGCCTTAAAGCTTATCTATTACAGTTTAATATTGCTTGGCCCTTTGCTCACAAATAAATTGCAATAACAGTTATCCCACTTTAACAGAAAAGTGACAATAAGATTAACATAGTCAATTTGAAACCTAAAGCAATAATAAAGATGGTAGAACAAAAAAATCAGCGACAGCAGAGAATTTTTTTTTGGATAACAAAAACAAACAAACAAACAAATTAGACATAAACATATCATTCGATCCACAAAACAAACATATGACCCATTAAGCTCTAAAACACAAGCAATAAGATTAATAGTTAATCAAACTTCCACACAGTCTCACAGTTTTTTTCAAGGATATCCTCCACAAAAAAGCTACAAAGCTGAACATCAGACTGATATTGTACTTCCAAGATTTTCCATTTGAGTGCAGCCATGTGCTTCATTTTGAGCATAGTCTTTTCTACATATGCAGATAAGATTGTTTTTACAAAAATAATAATAAATAAAAGCCTGAGGTTCTAGCCTGTCTCAACTGGTTTTATGAATTCTAAGGGATGAATATATTTCTAAGCCCCTTTGTGCTTTCAGTATAAAGAATTCTATCATATTCCAACACCCTTTTCATCTTCTATTCTTTATGATACTCTCGTAGTGAGTTTGTTTCTAGATAATGAAATCCTTAGCAGGAATTTCTATTTAAAAACCAAGATCATAAGATTATGAATTGAGGGAGCTTAAGAAATTTCTTGGTTTGCGAGGAGCCTTTTTGTCTAGAACATGATATCTAGGAGTTAAATAGAGCAAAACTTTTCTTTCGGTAGCTTTTCATAAGTGCCAGAGCAATCCGATTCAGGTTATTACTTAAAATTGGAAGAGAGAGAGGGGAGGGGGGGGGGGAGACCGGGAGGGGGAGAGAGAGGGGGGGGGGTGGGAGCTTATAAACCATTCAATAAAAAAAATAGGTGAAAATAATGTGTACATAGAATTTGACGAAGTAGAAGCCATCAATTTTTTCACAAACTTTGGTAATACATAACTCATGTATCTTAAGAACTATAAAAACACAATACATGTCACACTTTCTAAGAGACCACATACATTAGTATATAACTAAAATAACAGTCATTTGGCAACAGATTAAAAAACTGTACCAAGGTTGCTGCAATACAAGTATACAGCCCATTAGTAGGGATAACAAACTCAGTTAATATGAAAGTGAAAACTAACAATTCTCAACGAAAAAGGAAAAAAAAAAAAAAAAAAAAAAACCCTCCTTTTGTATCTCAATGTCAGTATGAACTGCATACAAAGAATTATAATTACAATGCAACACAAGCTTTCTAAATCAAAATTAAAACTAAACAAAAAACAGCTTAGGGAAATGACAAAACAGAACATGGAATGGATAATTATAGGATATTAGACAGCAGATCCAGGATGAGGTATGAACTTGATATTAATGAAGACAGCTCAACACTGCAACACATAGTATATACAACAGTTGACTTTAAGCAAATCAAAAATATATTCTGAAAAGTTTAAAAATGGAGAGGAGAAATTCAACAAAATAAATGTGATTTTTGAGTTAAACGGAATGTATGGCCATAACAATAATGCAATTATAAGATAGAAGTAGCAGTATAAACGTAAAGGAACTAAATCTGAAGACATCTTAAGTACCTTTCCATCATATCGACTTTCTTGAATAACTTCTGGAGCCATCCAATGTGGAGTACCAATGAACTGAAGAGATTAAAAATAAATAAATTAATTAAAAAAAAAAAAAAAAAAAAAAAAGCAGAACATACACACATCAGCATACAAGATCCATAACAAAGAAATTATTAGAATCAAAGACTGTATCAAACATGAGGGCATGGTATTAATCACTGATGATGGCAAAGTAGTATATATCACTAAAATTATATCAGTTTGCTTTTGTTAGGATGAAAGCAAACAAATTCCATCATTAAATCAGACTTTTCAAGTATCATTTGTTTACCTTCAGCAAAGACCTGGAAATCGCAACAATAAAGATATCTAATCTCAGATGAGAAAAAATAATAGCATGGAAAATTCGTCCCTACCACATTGTTAAGCATCTTGGTTCATCAATTCAAGGACAAATGAAAATGATAGATCTCATTTTTAACCCAAGATATATTAATTGGAAGAAAAATCCTCCAATTCCACAATAGACAAAAGTTACCAATAAATGCATACAGCTCTAGATATGTGGCCTGAATGGATCACACTAAAAAGAATCATAATGACATTACAAATAAGAGTAAACAGCCAAAATAAGAGAGATTGTTCAAACATAACTCAGTCACCTATGTCAAAAATGTAAAAACGAAAAGCAAACTGAATCTTTCATAAAATACTATAGTGTAAATACTAAGTGATTGTTCTGTACTTTCTTAAAAAAAAAAAAAAAAAAAAAAAAATGTTCTGTACCATACAATTTAAACTAGAATTATTCATCCAATAAAATCAAGACATATAAAGAGATCATCAGAGAGGAGTTATCTAATAAAATCACACTAGCTTTCAAAACCATGCAATGAACAGGGTGAAAAAATAAAGAGATTATAGAAAGGGGACATTTCATAAAACTTAAATTTTATAATGTTATAATAAGAAATTACGATAATTGTATTCAGAAACAATGAAATCCCCACCCATAAACTGATCAAAACATATCATGTAATAATTTATAAGTCCTCATTTTAAGGGGATGAATGAATCTACTAAGTTTATTCTTATAAACTTCTATGGATCTTAAGTACTCTAATTTTCAAGCTATTTCTAATAGTACAGAAATAGTGAATTTTGAATTGTCTATCCATAACTATACGGGTAATCAATTTACTTAACTTAATTATCTCAGGTGGATTAACAAAAATCAATTCTGTTTTTCTGTTTTCATTAAGCTTTTTTATTAATTTTTTTTTATTATTTTCTTAATTTAATTCATTTACCGTGACATGCAATGCTTATGTGGAACCCCCTATCTTCTTGAAATTTAAAAAGATCATCATTTTATTACATTTGACTTGATGCCTCGTATATCTCCAGTTGAAACATTGATGTTGAATAAAAAAGGAACAAACTAAAGACATGAAAAAAAAAAAGTAAGCTATACCGTATTGCGCTTGGACATGGTTCTTGTCAGCTGTGCTGCAACACCAAAATCACCTATACGAGATAAAGAGAACACATTAGCTAATAAATCCATAAAGGTCAGGTATCTTTATCAACATAAAAGTAATTTCATTCAATAGTAGAAAACACCAGCCTATACTCCTAGGTCATGCATAAGCCATGAAAATGTATACTACGTACAAGTGATGGGATCATGGGAACAGAGAACCACATATAAGGTTTAGGGCTCATTAAAGTCTACTTTCTTCTTGTTCCACTATGGCCCCAACCTTGAGTCACAGCAGAGCAGACAGAACAAGGGGCAAAGAGCAAATCTGAAAACAACAAGTTCAAATAAGAAGCTCTTGCCTAAAAGTAAAAGAGAGTACTTCAAGCCTAAACCTTGGCCACTTTGCATCATTGCATATTAAACCAGACTGAAAAGATTTCAATGATTGCACAATCATTCACATCAAAAATCTGTAAAGTACGTACAGATATAAATTCCTATAGTTAAATAGCAGGGATTTTGGGGCATGCCCTATTTACAGCATATACTCTCTAAGCACGTTAATAAATCCAGAAATCTTTTGCGGTTGCCTTTTTTTTAACCTAACATGCTGGTAGCAGGACTTTAATTGCATAGGCTCGTGTTTGACGGAAAATCTTATCCCCCAGCATTTCTGATAACATTTCAGTTTACAGAAATTGATTAAAGAGTCAGGGGAGAAGGATGGTAACCTTTATGATAAGATCACAGGAAGCCTTAGTCAAAACATATTCTACTAGGAAAAGAGATGGAAACAAATGGTTACTGCATATCTTTAGCAAAAACAAGACTTTCGGGTGAATCCTAACAAGGTTCAGTAGCAAATTGGGGCGAAGCATCTCAAGTTTCCTACCAGACTACCCCTCACCCTCCCACCCTCAAGATCACAAGTACCTATCTTGCCACTTTGCAGTCATGCCCCTTCAAGAAGCACAAAATACAAAATTCAAAACCACATACATAGTTGTATACAAGTTAAGTGCCTAACAGAAACACGGCATGCGACATGCCATATGAAGAATAAAAGTAAGCTAGCATAAGAAATCGACAATTAAGTGAAAGGAAAGGTTTATACCCAACTTCACTTCTCCTTGTTCTGTCAATAGTATATTACCACCCTTAATATCTCGGTGAACCTTGAAGATTGAATGCAAATAATCTAAACCCTACAACCAATGAGGCAATAACCTTAGTCAATAAGCAAACAATAGAGTTCACAAAAGAATATATGAAAGTCTAGAAATGCTGAAATTATCTTTCGTTATGTCATTTAGTTCCTTGGAAATGATCATATGACACTAAAAGATAACACAGTTCTTAAAATCCACTAAACTTCTTTCCAAAGCCTTCAGCTATAATTTATATGCCCATTCGTCCAAATCTTGCACAGAGCCTTAAAATAGAAAGTCACGCCAATTCTGATGTCATTATACCTTCAATGCCTCCCTACAAGTGTAAGCAATTTGATTTTCATCTAGAGGCTCTTCAGTAACATTCATCAAGTCAGCAACACTTCCACCTCCACAATACTCCATCACTATCTGCCACAATATGACAATATCAACAATCACAGGTATATATCTACATATGCAACTCGAAAAAAGGGAGTGCATAGATACAATTCAAATGTTATTTGATATTACTAAATGAAATCAAAATCAAAACCTACCCAGAGATACTCTTCTCCTTGGTAGCTACCAAGGTAACGGACGACATTAGGATGACTACACTGCTGTAACATTTCAATCTCACCTCGAATCTCCTCATAACCTTCCTCCTACACACCAAAGACAAGGACAATGAAACACAAAAGCTCAAAAAAAAAAATGAATCTCAAAATAAAAAACTGAACTCGAAAAAAACAAGGAAACACACCCCTTCGCTCAATGATATAACTTTAATTGCAACTAACTCTGAAGTCTTTAAATCTCTAGCTTTATAAACTGCCCCATAGGAACCTTTCCCTGATTTCACAAAGACAACATCAGCAACAATAAATTCAACATACTATTAATTCAAAATCATTTCAAATACACGAAAGCTCAGCTGCTGTCGCAAAGTACCCATCGATGTTTCCATCTTCTTAACTTCATTTTATAGCTTTATAACATGACTTTCGTAGATATAACTACATATCATAGTGTCAACTATATCTATCATCAATTCATCAAAGCTTCTGATAAACATACTCAAACCAATCAATCATCAAAGCAAATTTCAATATTCATGTATATACTGCAGTCATAATTCAAAGTCACAGTCACATGTTTCAACAAATCAATCTAAGTTCAATCCAAATAGTTTTCTCTCCTTTTCTAACATATGGTCAACATCTCCTAAGTTCTCAAAACTAAAACATGATCATCAATTACTAATACAGAATACCTAAAGTTCCTGAACTCACCTAATTCATGAAGCAACTCATACTTTGTGCTAGGATCCTCCCTAGCAATACAATCCGGAATCGAACTCGACGACATTTTACTCTGCAATTGTCTCATTTGTCCAGCAACATCGTCTGATTGACTCGAACCACCACCGCCTCTCTTACTCCTCCCACCAAACCCTAACTCCCCTGCTGCCTGCATACTCGCAACCGCCCTACTCATCGCCGAACCACCATCACCACCACTCTTCCTCACTACCGTCCCAGAAACATCATCACTCTCCTTCTCCCTCTTCTTTTTCCCCGTCTTTCGCACCACAAATGTCCCGAACTCTTCCTCACCCTCCTCCTCATCATCATCCTCCTCCTCCTCCTCCTCCTCATCATCATCATAATCATCATTTCTCCCTTTCTTCACCAAAAAAGTACCAAAATCACCTTCACCATCATCATCTTCATCATCATCATCATTCAATTCAACTGTTCTAGGAACAAATTTAGGTTTCGACGGAGACATAAATGTCGGATTGCGTGATTTTCTGACAGAATGCGGAGATTCCGAATGATGTTTATCGGGCTTGACGATGAAAGTGCCGGAAATGTCGTCGGAAGTTTCGGCGTCGAAATCGAAGGAGCCGGCGCCGCCGAAGTCCTTGGGAAGACGCTTGAGAAGAGGAGGGAGAGAGTCGTCGTCCATGTCGTCGTCGGTGGTGTTGTGGACGACGAAGGTGGAGAAAGTGTTGTCGGAGGATTTCGCCGGAATTGATGGTGTTGGAGGTTTCCGACCACGTCGAGGGGAGAATTCCATGGATTTACAAGTAATACAAGGGGTAGAGTAGAGTGTATCGGTTATTTTATATGAAGTAATTTTTTATACGAAGGCGCTCCGGTCCGTGATAATCAAGTTTCGTTTATTACGGAAGCAAAACAGCTACTCGTGCTTCGGTTTTGGAATAATTGGCAAGACTGCTATTTAAGTAGCAGTTTACGGTTTTATCTTGTACACTTTCTCAAGTATTGTTGACTATAGGTAAGCCCGTGCGATGCAAGATTCTAATAACATATTGATCTTTACTACTTCCTCCGTTTTTTTTTATTGCATCATAGGGTTTTGAAGGCAAAATTTGGTAGTAGAAAAAAGTAAGAGAGATAAACGTAAAAATGTAATGTAAGATAAAATAAAAAGTAAGTGTGAAAAAGTAAGGGTATGTTGGGTATTTGCAGTGTGAACATAGATATTTTTTATCCTAAAAAAAATGATGCAATACTAAGTAAACTTCCTAAAGTAGTAAGTGATGCGATAAAAAAAGAACGGAGGAAGTATTATTGTTTGCTATTTTTTGGATAAAATTATTAAAAAAAAAACAATTGATATGTTAAAATTAATAAAATCATACATAACAATATAATAAAACTCGGTAAATTTTATTTTCAAGATTTTATACTCCGTATAAGAATCTTAATCATCATAATTAAATGAAGATATAATCATGAAATAAAATTAATAGTATACACACATTCGAAATTAAAAAATTTACTCCATATATACATATAAGAACGATGCGGGTCATACTTCTAATTATCTTTCAAGAAATATAAAGGATATCTAAATGGACAGCCAATATAAATTAAAGATCAAATTAAATCATGATAATAACGAGGAAGATGAAGTGTGTAGAATATTCATTATTTATATATATATTTTTTCATTTTGATTTTTATGTCTCCTATTTTAGAAAAATGAAAAGATAAGGAGTTTTTTTTTTTTTTGGGAGGGGGAAAATAAGGAGTTTTTAGTATAGATATTGATTCATTTATTTTGCTTATGTGACAAATGAATTTTTTTATTATAAAAGAAATTGCAAATCTCTTTTTATTATGATAAAATATCTAATAAAAAAGATAATATTTTATTTAAAAATTTATTTAAACTATCAATTTTTGGAACATCAAGATTACAAAAGGGTTAGAACGACATGAATAAAAAAATTATTTTGAATAATATTTCCGTTTTTAAACATATAATTAGCATACAATAGTTTAAAAAAAAAACTTCCTCCGTTTTTAAGTATTACAATGGTTGACATAACAATGAAATATGCTTAAGTTTTTTTTCTATCAATAACAGTATTCCAAAGATTTAGTTAAGCTCATTGTCCACTGATCAAAATAAAAACATTACAAAAATACACATAAAAACAGGAATAAAATTGATAAATAATAAATCTAAACACGTTTATGTAAATAAAATTATATTTTTAGATTAAAAAAGTAAAAGGCAAATATACCAAGAAGTGAAAACTACATTACGGAATTAATAAAAAAATTGTAACGATACATATAAATACTAATATTATTATGAAACCCGGCCCATGGGATGCACGTTTTTTTAATTAAATGTATCTAATTGACAGAATTTTCCCTCTATGTTAAGAGCATTTCAAGGTATAGGTCTAACCACCTCAATTATTACTCCAGCATGCTATAAATAGAAAAGTCTCTCGGCGATGGGAGTGAGAGATTTCCAATAATAAGCCATATGCTTTGCGAACTATATTCCACTTTAATGCATTTTGCTCTTAAATCGCCTTTTGTGAACAGGTGCACTCCAATACCATTGATGTCCAATAGGTTTGATAGTAATGTCTGGATTTGTTTTAATTGTTGCATGATTGCATGAATGTAATCACCCTATAATTAAAAAATAAATAAATAAATAAAAAATAAATAAATAAATAAAATAAAAATAAAATAATAATAATAATAATAATAATAATAATAATAATATCAATATCAATATAAGCTAAATTAAGAAAATCGTTTCCAAACCTTATAAATTAGATTGTAAATGAACTTACAAAAATACCTTCTCTAATTAATCTGATCTTTAAAAAAAAGTATAAATAGAAAATAAATTGCAAGCATAAACTTAAATATGTATTAAAAATTAAACTAACAATTACCCAACCATTGATGACCTAAAACTGATGCGGATTTTTTTTGATGTGATTTTGTATGATATGTCAACTACAAGTTCAATGATTCTATTATAAAGGTATGAGGGTTTTTTTTTTCTCTTATCATAGAAAAGCTATCTATATTTATCATATTTATAAATATTATGAGTTGGAGTAGTATATTATATCTTTTCAAAAATCTTATCATACAAAAGTTATTAACTATTTTTATTATATTTTTTCTAACCAACTTTTATTTTTTATGTATTTTTTATAAATCATACCAACGTATCAAATAAAAGACATAACGCATACATAAGTTATAATATTGTAGGATTTATAACATATTGTAGTTCCATATTAAGTTGTATAGTATATAACATATTGTAGCTTCCATATAAAATATTTTGTTTAAGTTGTGTTATTTTTATATCATAAATAAATTTGAGAAAAAGCCTAAAAAAAAGCAAAAAAGAACATAACCTCCGATACGATGAACAAAATAAAACCATATCGAAGTCCTAATTGTTCTACGAATGAAATAATTATATAACTATAGCAATAAAAACTTTATCTTTTATACGAAACCATGATAAAGATTATATTGAAATAGGTAATGACAAATGATATACTTAAATACTAATATAATTATGAGATAAATGAATTTAAACTCTCAAATTTCATTCGTTATGCTTAGGTGGAAAATGATTTTTTTTTTAATTCTAAAATAAAATAAGAATCTCATTTTTAATTGGTCGAAATAATACCCTTACTTATGTGGCGCTCCAAATGCTTTTCAAAAATGCCTACTTTATTTAAATAAAATAAGAATCTCATTTTAATTGGTCGAAATAATACCCTTACTTATGTGGCGCTCCAATTTCTCTTAAAAAATACCTACTTTATTTATATATATATTAGATTTATTAATTACCTTTTACAATAAAATAAGTTCGTTAAAATAATAAATTACGATAAAGCTTAACGACGACTACCTATATTAAAATAATAGAGTAACTAAAATAAAACTCAATACAGTTCCTAATAAAGAATACATGTAATTTTTATTTTTTTTTTTGACAAGAAATAATACATGTAATCTATTATCAAAAGATCTAATTACAAAAGAAAATGTGAATTTTAACCATAGAAACTATAATAGGTATGAAATCAAATTATTGTAATATGGAGTAGGCAACAAATCAAATAATTAATAGGTAATCAAAACAAAATAATTGTAATAAATTATTTCTTAATACATCCTAGCCCTAATAATGTGAGATAATAATTGTGTGATAATAATTGTGAGTTAATATTAATTAGTCATAATGATTAGAAAAATATTTTTAGACTTCATTAGTCTGAATAATTAAAATAATATCTAGTGTGAGATGATTTGACCAAATCTAATAATTGTAATGCTTTCTATAATAATCCCATTCAATTTGTATTTCATATAGGAGTGCTAATCAAGATAAGTAGGGCATTTAGAGCTACTCATCAAGAAATCCAACTAGAAAAAAATAAGGCCTTGTTTGGCATCATTTTTTGTTTTCAGTTTTTATTTTTTTTTAAAACAAAAAACCAAAAACAGGAAACAAGAAAAAGATGTTTCCACTTTTCTGTTGTCTGTTTTCAAAATTATCATGAATTTAATAATTTTGACTAATTTTTGATTCATTATATGACATATATTATATGATTTTGAAAAACAACCACAGCAATACCAAACGAACCCTAAGTTGTCGATTTACAAAAGTATTGTTTATTCAATGCTTATTTACCATTTTCTCGTGGAGTGAATCTTTACATAATTACATGTTTGCTTAATATATAGTACTATTTACAGTGTAAAATTCATTTCAATTTAGTAAATAATTACAATTCATTAAAAATAAGATAAAGATAATTAGGCCTAAGACTATATTTGGTTCACCTTATTTTTTTACTCGATACTTATTTCATATCAGAATTACTCGGTACTTATTGTTAAATATCTTTAATTTTACTAACATTATAATGATTAAATAAAAATGTTGTTTTTAAAGAAATAAAGTTTTGATTTTTAAGGGGTCTAATATTTTGTAAATCACACACGTTTGATTAGAGTTTATAGCTTTGTGGTTTGTTTGTTAAAAGTATTTAAATTAAGGTTATTATATTTGTGAGGTTTTTCGTTCAAGAGCTGGTGGTGCTCTTATTTCCGTGATCAAGGTATGTATTAAAAAATTATATATACCTGGGTGCAACCCAAGAGTATTTTCCGTTCATGTTTTTTTTTCTCATTTTAAAAATTTAAAATGAGCAAAAACCTACCCTTAGGTGCACCTATATGTACCTTGATCATATAAATCAAAGTACAACCAATCCTTGATCATGATCCTGAGAAAAATAATCTCCTATAGAAATATAATAATCTTAATTTATTTAAAGTTACCAAATAAAATACAAATCTATAAACCCTAATCTACATGTCCATGATTTATAAATATATTAGTTACCTTAAAAATCAAAATTTTATTTTTTAAAAACGATAATTTTAATTTATCATAACAATGTTAGTTTCATAAGAATAAAATTGAGAATATTAGTAGCAATAACAACAAGTTTAAAAGAAGTTAATAAGGTTTTTTTTATACACAAGCTTGCGGCAGCAAAGAGGAGGAAAGAGAAGTGGTGCATGGCACCTTATTATGCTAGTGCTAGACGGTGGAAGGAGGTGACGACAGCGGTGGCAGACGTGACAGAGAAGAAAGAATTGGGTGGCTTTAAGAGGAGAGAAGAGAGAAAATTTTGATGCAATTGATTTGTGAAGAGGGGAGGGGTATTTATAGTGGTTAAAGTGTAAAAAGATAAGTTTAAGGCGGACTAGGATTAGTAAAAAATAAGATAGAATCAAAAGTAGTTAAATGATTTTGAATGGGATTAGGTCTAGGTTAATTTGTGTGGGAAACTTTAATGGAAATATGAATGAAAAATAAGATGAACAACAATTTCATTAGA